ATATCACCTATCAGAAATATAGAACAGCTGCATCCTCTATTGTAATGGCATTTTATATATTATATGTAGTTAAATTATAGTTGTACTGTAGTATATATCATTGTTATTTTACTGGTACTTTAGAATCAGTAGGTAAACATTCACTTAACTTCTTTCACTTTACGAATGTATCCTTAGCATTCAGCTGCATGTTCAAGATTAAGTTCAATAATAACCTCAATAGCAATGATTTCTCTAGAACAGGGTTGTCCAACCTTTTTTCCTAACGGGCCAAATTAGAAATTTAGGTATATTTAGCAGGCCACAAAGATACTTCATATAAATATATGCTATTAAAAAGTTCAAAATGTGAATATCAAATTTTAATAACAAATATATATCATTACAAAAAATACTGTATTATTGACAGTAAAAAAAAGAAATTATACTCACACAAAATAAAAATAAATTCAATGTGATATTTGACATTGCCTTCCTTTTATAATATTGTCAATATCTGCTTTTATGATACTAGTTTAATTCTAAGAATGTTAGTTAAACTGGAATTACTCAACCTATTTCTTTCAGTAGTTTTGATGTTTTTCATGCATAAAAAGAATTGTTCACAACAGTATGTACTGTCCCACATGCATAACAGTTCTCTACATAAAACAGTTTTATAACACCAATTATGTCATTATGACATCAAAGTGTATCCAGTGAAATAAGAATAAGTTTTACAATATATTTTATCAAAATAAATGAAAACATACCTAAACAGTTTAGGATGTAGTGGGCTGCATAAATATATTAAGTGGGCCATAGTGTGGCCATGGGCTGGACATCCCTGCTCTAGAAATTCAAAAATATTTCTTCAGTCGTTTTACTACTTGAATTTATATCACCACATCGCCATCTTCTATCAACCTATTGATGTGTGCAAAAAGTTGATACTCACAGGAACACTTTTTGTTATTCATACAGACAATGCCCATTATTTTGATGGCCTATTAATAAATTTGTAACATTTAACAAAAGAGAGGTTATCTCCCAA